GCCTGGGCTGGATTGGTTGCAGGGAGCCAAGGAGAGAGACAGGGTTTGCTGGTGCCAAAGGCCCAGTGTCCGAGTCTTGGAGGCCCCGGGCCTGCCCCTATGGAACTGGGTGGGTGCTTGGGGCCCGGCACACTAAGGGGTCGTTCCGGTCACAGGCTGGGGCATAGACCAGACCCTGTGACTCTGTGACAGACTCTTTCCATCTTTTCTTTTCATGGGGATAGTTTGCAGTTGTGCCTTGAATCCTGTCTTTCTGAGACTCTGCCAGCTCTTCTGAACTCCCTTTTTCCTGAGAGTTTCTTCCCCTGGGACCTGACCCACCAGCTTCTGACTTGGCTGAAGGCTGATTGTTTGAAGGCCCCTGTCCCAGTTCTGCTGCTTCCTTTCCCTAGAATCATGACATCGAGCAGTTCATGAGCACGTTAGTCGTTGCCTAGAAGTTACACACATTTCCATAACAACACTCAAACCACGGCACTTGGAAGACAATGGACTCCTCAAATATTTAATTCCATAAGGTTTAACTTAATTCCATAAGGCTTGTCCAGGACATTGCAAGGTATTGTCAGATCTGTCCCAGTAGGTGTCCCCCAGACAGGGACAATGGGGGAATACCAAAGGTTAACAATGGTACTTTCACCCGGATCTGTGATGATCTCTTCATGCGCCGAGGGTGAAGGAAGATTGTAAAAATTGGAGCTGGAACCTGGTCTCTCTGAGTCCTGCTCTGTCTCTCACTCCTTTCCCATCTCTCTCTCTCTCCCGCTTCTCCCAATTCAGTCCAAGGTGAAAGTTTCCCCCATGAAATCGGAGTCCCAGCGCATCGCAATCTGCTGGTTTGCTCTGTGTCGGGGTTTTACCCCAGGGGGATCAAAATCAAGTGGCTGAAGAACAGGCAGGAGCAGACGGCCGGGGCGGTGTCCACGGAGCTGCTCCAGAACGGAGACTGGACTTTCCTGGTGATGCTGGAGATGAGCCCCTGGCGCGGGGACGTCTACACCTGCCAGGTGGAGCACATCAGCCTGCGGGACCCCCTCACCGTGCACTGGGGTAAGAGCCTCTGGGTGTGGGGCAGCCCCTGATCCTGCAGGGGCAGCCCTCGGGGGATGGGCCTGGGTCAAGCCCTGTCCCCCCCCCCCCCCCCCCCCCCCCCGCCGCCCGCCCCCGGCGCGGGGGGGGGGGGGGGCCGGGCCACCGCCCCCCCCGCCCCCCCCCCCCCCCCCCCGGGGCAGAGAGCACAAGGGGAAGGAGGGGCTGAGCTCAGCCTAAACCGGCTGTGCTCTTCTTTCTACAGAGGCACGGGCTGATTCTGCTGGGGCAAGATGCTGGCTGGGGTCGGGGACTCCGTGCTGGGGTTGCTCTTCAAGGTCCTGGGATTGCTCGTCTGCCTGAGGAATAAGAAAGGTGAATGGCTCCGGGATGGGGCCGGCAGCCCCAGGAAATGAGTCCCCAGTGGGGCCATGATGCAGTGGCACTGGAGGGTTTCACTCGAATTTTGATTCACCACAATTT